GTCTTCACTCTTCTGATGTATTCACTATTAACCTTCTTCTTGACTTCAGTGTGCTTGATGTTATCAGCCTGAAGGATGCCCAGGTGTTTGTAGTGATCTTCTTCATCCAGACTCTTGATATTGTTTCCATCGGGCATCTTGATTCCTTCGGTTTTCACTATCTTTCCCCCATTGATGGTCAGAGTGGCACGTTTGTCCAGTCCAAACTCCATTGCAACATATTGGGTGTATATTAGGACAATGTTGAGCAGCCATTCTATTTCAGATGGTGTTTTTCCATACAGCTTCAGATCGTCCATGTAAAGGAAGTGGGATAACCTGGCAAGTGTTTTTGATGTTTGACAGCCATGTCCTGACTTGTTCAGTATTGACAGAGGAATCAATACAATGACAAACAATAGTGGTGATAGTGAGTCTCCTTGAAAGATTCCTCTCTTGATGTTAACCTCTCCCAGTCTTTTGCCATTAACCAGCAATTATGTCTTCCATTGTGCCATTGTTCTTTGCACAAAGCTTCCGTTTCTACTGACTCCTGTTATTTCTAGGCACCATTATCCAATCATGTGACAGGGAGTCGAATGCCTTCTTGTAATCAATCCAAGCTACATTCAAGATGGCCTTCCTTCTCTTACAGTTTTCCAAAATCTTCTTGTCAATTAGGAGCTGATTTTTTGTACCTCTGCTGTTTGGGCAGTTTCCTTACTGCTCAGATGGAAAGAGCTTGTTTTCAACTAGGTGCTGTTGGACTGCATCAGCTACCACATCAGTTAGCAATCTGAAAGTTGTTGGCATGCAGGTAATTGGCCTGTAGTTGTGTGGTGCTGCCCCTTTTGCTGGATCTTTCATTATCAGGTAGGTTTTGCCTGATGTTAACCATTCTTCAGTTTCACCTCCTTGCAGTATGTTATTAGAGTGCTTGGCAATGAGTGGGTGCAGAGCAGTCAGAGGTTTCAACCAAAAACCATGCAATTCATGTTCACCTGATGCTCACCAATTATTGATCTTCCTTGCTCTTTTCTCTACCATTTCTGCTGTTATTACAAGTTCTTTCACTTCAGCTTCTTTTTTATTCTTATCTACCTCCTTTATCCAAGCTGCATTCT